TTGTATATAGATCTGACATCTTTTCAGGGTTCAGAAAACGCGTTTTATATTAACCTGGTTACTTCTTTGCTCCTTGTCTTGTTGCTTGATCTCCACAACAGCAGAACCATTACTTCATTACTTATTCTAGGCTGTTTTCTTCTTCAGCGTGTGTCTAAGACGGTTACCCATTATCGAGAAGTAAAGTGGCCGTCTTACTTACTCACACTGGATGTGGATAGTAACCAAGTTGTTGGTAGATAATCATAATACATGTAACAGGTACACAGTGTCATCACAATGTTTTGAAAAATACGCAAGGGAGGGAAAGGGATGAGAACGTTTGTACCGGTGACTGTCTAATACAGGTAGCCCTTAGAGCGAGTTTGATTGTATCATTAACAAAGTCATAGTACTTTTCTATTGATTCCGTCTATTCCAGCGGCCACAACGGAAGCGAAGACGAGGTAGGGGTTGGCCTGTGGACTTGGCTGGCGGAACTCAAACAAAGGATTGTCCTCGTTTCCTTTCAACCGGAAACATTTGGATCTGTCGTTGCATCCGTAGTCAAAGTAGCTAGGACAGACTTTGCTCACACTGGATCTGGATAGTAGGAAAGTTGTTGGCAGAGTGATAATCATAATAGATGTAACAGGTACAATATAGACTAATGAAAAAATACTGATCTGTGATAACGTACACATTGAAGCTACTGCTGCTGATGCTGCTACACTTGCTGCTTCTGCTGTTGCTACTACTACTGATGATGATGATGATGATGATGATGATGATGATGATGATGATGATGATGATGATGATGTGGCAGAGCTATAACTATTCCCTTTTATGTCTCCACAGTATCCATCTGATTTATTTTTGTAATTGTTTAGCTTGAAAGGTTTACCTGTAACAGTGTAATGTTGGCAACGCAAAAGCGGTCAGAGCTGGACCATGGTGACAGAGCCCATTCAGAAAATGTCTTCCCATGTCAGACAGACCGTTAGGGCCTTGTGCACTTTCTATTGGCACCATGGCATTTGTTCCGTCAGAATTCCATAGGCTGAAGTTGTAATGTTGTACCAATGGAACTGTATTCGGAGAGAAGATGCTCAGATAGGATATTTCGTAGCCTTTCGTTTTCAGGTACACCTCCAGCGCATTTCGGAGTCGTGAAGTGTTGTCACCAGTCTGAAACAGGGAAGGGAGAAATCCAACACCTTTAGACAGATCAGAGATACTGTTCGTCATGCTACTAAGATAATTGCCAGAGTCAGTTTTGGCCGGTTTGGATTTTTTGTTTCCGAAATGAAGAGTAGACCCAGCTTGGTAATATAGCCTAGTTCACTTGCATTTAAGGATTTGTCTGAAAGAAACAGTTTTTTTTTCTCATTTTCACAAAATGGCTAATAATGACTTGGGCATTTATCTTCTGAGTGCTTTATATTTTCTGTACTTTTTCCAGTTCTTTGAATTCTTGTTTGTTTTGACCTGTGCCTTCAACTCAAAATAAGAGTCATGTAGTAGACTGTGCATTACTCCGCCCCTCCCCCCCTCCCCCCCAAAAAAAAGAGTTAATTGCAAAAAATGAAATGAAATAACGAAAAATTGATTAAAGTAACATAAGTTTTACAACATAAAATCAAATTTACAAAAAGGAAAATGAATAAAAATAGAATAGAATAAAAAACCCAAAAGAAAACAAACAAACAAAACAATGCAACAACAAAACCAGAGAAAAACGTGTAGTAAGACTAACATGCTAAACGCAAACCACTCCTCCAGACTTTCTCATTGGGTGATAGAAAGGGAGATACGTGTTTAAGAAAAGATGACAGAAACATTCCACCCACTAACATTCAGCCATTTACTCTCCCAAATCCTCTTGGGTTACACTGATCCACATGCTTTTTACAATTTTAGTTACAGTTTCAAGCTCTTACAATACGAATAGGTCATATAAGTGGCGAAGATTAGACGTGTTACTACTAGAGAGTAATGCACAAAGAAAAGAAGGAGCGGAGATAAGGACGATAGATCTACATGTTTCATATGACAAAGGGAACAAACCACTCCAGAGCACCCCAACCACCCACCAACCACCCACTAGCTTTGCTAAGGTAAATGTGAACGTATTGCTGTAAGTAACAGGTTTTTTTTTTAGGTTGAATAATACCATCGATAGGGTGCGGTAGCGGAGTGGTTATTGCGCTCATCTCCGAAGCGGAAAGTCTGGGTTCGAACCTCGGTTCGGACACGGATTCCTCTCCCCCACCCCCCCTCTTGCCCACTCAGCAGTAATGGGAACCTGACTTCGAGATTGGGGAAGTAAAGGCGGCGTGAAAAGGAACTGGCCACCCTTCCACAATATGCTTAAGGCCCAGGAAGTTGTCTCTTTGACAAGGCAAATAATACCCTCGCACCTAAAATCCATGACTTGGGTCTCATATCCTTTCCAAGGATGACCTGTTATTGATTCAGCCATAGCGTACAGATGCCAAGCCAAAGGGAGCAAATGCATTATAATAATAAGTTTCAACATCAATAAAATGCCAAGACAGGACTGAAGGATAAAGCTGCTATTAGAAATTGATTTTGTTATTCATGGAAAAACCATGCCATATTAACTTTACGCCATTCTGGAAACAAAGCTGAACTTTCAAAAGCCCATAGTGTAGGAAGGACCCACTCTACAGATAACAAACTGGCGCACAGCGAGGGTGTACACTCATACAAAAAGAACAATGACTGTTGTAATTTGCAATGGCTTTCGGCCCCAAAAGACTCAACGGCTCTTCTATAGGCAATGTCAAGGTAGTTCTTTGGCAAAGCTTTACAAATGTAACACAAATTGCTACAGTATACAATCTGCCCGTATAAATAATATTACATGTACTATGATGTCAGGGTAGTTCGTGGGCATAGGTTCGAAAACGTTACGTAAATTGCAACCGTGCGTAATCTGTCTATACAAATAAAGATGCACGTGCTAGGATGGAACCACTTACAAGTATACCGTCACATGGTGCACATGTCATCTCAAATCCTAACGGCCCTGAGTCTGTTTGCACGCTCTTGATGAGAACACCCATGTTCTTCATATTGTCCATGAATTCTAAGAAGAGCTCCTGCAAGAAAAATGGCATCAATGTTCGTTTTATTCCAGACTATAGTGTCATTGAACATTGTATCATCATTAAAAGAAATTTTCACAGGGACCTGCATTTTATTATAATTTATCTAGGTTTCATCTCGCGCGTACCCTCACCCTAGAAAAAGAAGCAAATACGTACTTTCACATTGATCAGGGTTGGGTATCCCTCCCCCCCCCCTTTCCACCCTAATAATTATCTGACAATACGTCTACAAGGGGCGGCTCGTGGTTTGTAGAACTGACCGGCTGCCATCTACATTGATCCCCTCTCGCTACCTCCTCCTCTTTATCCCCACCACCTCCA